AGGTGAGCTGTGTTCATTTGCAGACAATGTCAAGAGGGTTTTGATGCATGGGTTGTCATGGTACCAGTTTAAAGTGCAACATGGTTATTTCATGGGACACAGCAGTGGGCTAAATTTGCAAATCAAAATTAGCTCTGTCACGTCCATTTTCTGACCAGCCCCACGTTTAAGGTTATGTAAACTGGGTTGTATCAGTGAAAAGCCTTGTTTTAGGAGTGTTCACTGAGTATTTAGGAGCATTTTGACAAGAAGAAACTAGAGAAATCACTCACCACAAAATGAAGTTGTGGCCAGGCGACTCCGTTCAAGAGGTGGTGCCCATTTGGCCCACATCCCATGACATGCTGGGTAGGTGACACCCTAGCAGGGACATGGTGTGGAAGATGTCAAAGGTCAAAGATTGACTTGAAAGGAAACCTGGGATTCACCTGACAAAGTGCAGTAGTTTTACATTTTGGGAAATACACTTGTTTGCTTTCTTGCCTGAGAGTTAGATGACAAGATTGATATGGCTCTTTTATTTGTATGATAAATATGAAGTTACTGGATGGAGCCAGTTAGCTCAGCTTAACCCTAAAACAGGAAACAGCTAGCTCCTCTACAGATCACCAACACATTATATCTTTCTTGTTTAATCCAAATTTAATCCAACAAAAAGTACAGAAGTAAAACAAGTTATGCTTTTATTGGGGGACTATTTCTTGGCCAGGAGCAGTGATACAGTCCCTCACATATCCCACCAAAAAAAAACATAAAACAACAACTTGTTGTTCAGTTTTTGTGTGGATTAAATTTAAAATATTTAACATATTAATTTGCTTTGGAGGTGCTGGTACTGTAGGTAAATTCTGTTTGCAGTATTTATGCTAAGCTAAGCTAACCGACTGCTCGTGTTTGCCTTATATTCATCGCGCAGACATGACAGTTGTATTAATTGTCAACTAACTATTTAGTTTTATTATTTTCACTATCTTACAGCAAACACATTTTTACTTACCTCCACTAAGCCCTGCAGGATGCGAACAAACAGGACACAACCGTAGTGTACCCTTGCTGCTGATGGGATGAACATATTGAGCACTGATGTCAGGAAAATGGCAGCCCCAAACACCCTGTAGAGATACTGAAATGTCAACATATTGTGTGCGTGGATAAAAGTGAAGGGGCGCTAACATCAGTGTCCACCTGAATCACTTATTTTACTATATATCATATTATATTATATTGACTCGGGGGTGGGGGGGCACACAGTCCTTTTTCAGGAAAAAAAACATATTTAATAAATAATAATAATAAAACATTATCAGGAAAGTATAAGCTATACATTTGTCAGTTTTTCTGAAACAGGTAAAAACAACAACAGACACACAGTGTCTGAAAGCTACTTTTGAAGTCTAATAATGGCAAGCAGTATATCTTCAAATATCTCACGGTCAAGGCATTTCAGTCATCAGTGAGACAGATCTCACGCCTCTGCCTTTCATACACTGAGATAAAGACATCCCATTCAATCCGCAAGTTTCTGCTTCATCACTAGGGTGCCGTTTAGCTCCCTTCTCTTTTCTCCTTCACCCCCCCCTCCCCCGTCTCTTTTTCCAAAACAGTGTGTAAGTGACACTTGTAATATTCCAGTGGCTGGTGTTCAGAAAGAAATCAGAGGCCGGATCTTTCATTATTAACTCTGTCAGTGGCGTGTCCTCTTTTCCTGTGAAGCTTTTATTACAGGACTGCTATCTGCTCCATCAGCACCGCTCACCACACCATACAGCTTTAACCCTTTAACCACACAGACTAAAGAGGCGCCCCACCCCCTCTTTTTTTGTCTTTCTTGTGGTCCTTTCTTAACATGCGTGGTCAAGGCTTACCCGACCATGACTTCAACAGTTATATCAACAGAAGACAAGAGAACTTTAAGCTGTCTCAGCACACCTTACATGTACAGTAACATCAAACAGTTTCTGTCTCATGGGCAACAGCATCATTAGTGTCTGCGGTGTGTTTATAGCTGCAACTAATCTAGAAAGGTTAAATAAATGACTCTCACAAAGCATCATCATCAATTTGCTTTTTTAACCAACAGTCGAAAACCCAAATACACTCAATTTATTATTAGAGATTAGAGGGTTACAGTGGAACTATTGACAATAATGAAGCCATGGAGTTCATGTCACCTGTTGGCAAACAACTTGTTGGAGATGAAACCACCAGGGATTTGAGTGACAATGTAGCCCCAGAAGAAGGAGCCGTGGATCAGACCAACTGTCTCTGGGTCCCAGTTAAACTGAGCTTTCTGGAAAGGGAGAAAAAAACAGAAGCACACTCAAATCTGAAAAAAAATAGTCCCATTTGCCACCAAACTGCATTCATTTAGTATATTCTACCTGGTCACATATAAATCCATAAAATATTTGATTAAATTGCTTAAACTACAATTTATTTTGCTTCTGTAAGGCCAGACTATCTTTAGAGATTTATTCTGGAGTGTATCAAGCTATAAGAAAAAAGACACACATAAGTCTTACAAAGTCAGTGACCCAGGGGTCATGTCTGATCCAGCTACCTGAAGCACAGGAGTCCCATTGATATAAACAGTGTTGTTGTTCACCATCTCCACAATGGCCACACCAAGGTTACAACGGATGCCAAAAGAGATGCAGAAGCCCAGGCCGCTGAGGATGGCGATGATGTAGCGCTTGGGCAGACCGCCACAGCTGCAGTCCAGCAGTGGGGCGGGAAGTGGTGCTGAGGCCACCGGGCGCCCATCCTCCGTCAGTTCAATGTTGTCCTCTTCTTCTACATTGCTACCATCTATTTTCCTAAGAAGCAGGAGTATAATTTTGTAGTAAGGCCAGCTGATCATCAGAGGTACTGGTCAGTTGTTATCTGTTCAGCTTGAAGTAAAAAATATTTGTCTTTATCCATGTTCTTCCTTCTACATTATTGGTCCCTTTTACTTGTGCAATATTCACATCAAAATCATTTCGCAAATAGCAAAGTAACACGAGTCTCTCTGCTCTCTTTCAGAGGGCAGGAGGTGAAGCCACACGCTTTCAGGTGCATCACTCTCCACACCTGTTCCACTATCCAGAATCCATCTCTGTCTCTGTCTCCATGCTCCCTGTACCTGCTTTCATCTGCCTGCAACAGATCTATAGGCCTGCTACAGTTCTCCTCCAACCAAACTGGAATCAATATTTTAAATCAAGCACAAAAATCTTGGTCCAACATGAGCTCAGTGTTTGAAGAATCACTGGCTTTACTCGTTTGTCCTGTTACATTATGTGTTGTATTGTATTGTATAGTAATTATAGTATATAGTCTAAATACAGTCTAATAGCTGACTGTAAGAAATGGCCAACACAAATAGACTCTACAGGTCCAAAATTGTCCAAATTGTGGTTATTTTGTTTATTTGGCATTTTTTAAAAGACTATCAAATGAGTGTGTTTGGGGTAGAACAATGTCTTGATCAGACTTTTCACATAATTTATGAACTGCTACAAAATGTGTAACAAATTGATTAATTGCTCTTTGATCAATTTGATCTTCTCTTCTATATTCTCTTATTTCCTTTAGTTATTCCCATTTTCCACTTGTTCGTAATGTAAGCCAGTGCATTCTTATGACATATGACAAAGTACATGCACATACACACACTATTCGTTTTCCAGGAAATTGCCTACTAAGTGCTTTATCTCTCAAAATGACAACAATCTTCCTTATATATGTCCCCCCACATACACACACATCACACAGCCATCTGTGAAATATGTTTCAGATATGAAAAATGTATTAACGTCTTAAAATAAAAATCTGTGATTACATCACTGGCAAGCACAAGAATCAAATATTTATTTATCGTCAGGATCTCTGAGAACACTCTGGGCTTTATGTGCTCACTTGCAGGCTCTCTCCATCCCTCTGATGGCAGACGTTTCAGCCCTCTTAGTTGAGCATTCTAACAAAGTTATTTGAAAAATTCAGGTACACTGTGAATGGAATACAGTACATGGATAATGAGTGAAATGCTTATCCCATGCAGTCATCTAAAAAAGCTGTGAAGGATCAAACACCCTGCACATACATTCTTCATGCCTATTGCCCACCACTCTCCACACAAACCCTCTCACCTTTGCAGTTTTCCTAGTGAGTCCCCCACTGTGTTCTTCACTTCCTCCTTCCCAGGCTTAAGCACCTGTTCCTTCAAACCTGCTAACCCACCAAAAGGCATTTTCCCCGTGTATTTTTTCCTCTCTCCCTTTATCTGAAAACAGTGTCTTGATACCTCACTAACGCTCTTTGTTCTCAGAAAGGCAAAAAAAAAAATCCACTAGAAGCTCTTCTTCATCCTTGTGGCAGCCGGAGTTGGCTCCACCTTTCAGTGGTGCCACGGGTCCCTCAGAGGTAAGACAGACTTTTCCTCTCCACCTTTCTCCGTTGTGAGGAGAGGACTCCGCAGAGAAGTGAAGGGGAGGATGATGTTGAAGTATTCCTCAATGTCCAAAGCACCATGCAGCCAGAGGCTTTGGAGCTTGTTTCATCTCCTGATGATCCAGTTTAGAGAAAGACTGATGAATAAGGACGAGAACAGATGAAAGTGTAGAATCCAGGTTTTAGTCTCTAGGCATTGTGTGCCCCCTTTTGTCTGCAGCGGAGCTGAATGGGCCGCTTAGATCTCCTCTCCATCTCATAACTCATCCATTCCTGGTGAGGAGGGGCAGGTGTAGCTAGTTTTACAAAACCCAGCCCCTTGCTTTACGTCTCATCATCTTCATCATTATTATCACCATCTCCCAGCACCATCCCTTCAGCTAGTTAGGTTCATCTGATAGCAGCCCAGTGGACGAACAATCAAAGATGCATGAGCTTGACAAGTTGCTTTGAGGAGAGACACGAGTCGCTGGACTGCTGTGGTGTAAAATGGGAGCAGGGGAAACCTAAGACACAGCCATCGAGTTCTAGGGTTACACTACTGCTTTTCCATGACTGCTATTTACAATCTCTGCATTTATGAGTGACAGAAATCATAATTGCTGCCATAAAGCTATGCAGCACATGGACTGAGCAACAATACCATATCTCTCATCTTTTGATACTGACGGGCATTTCACTGCAATGTTTAATTTGCCAGCAGGAGAACCTCATCCTGTTCCAAAGTAAGTTTCCTTCTTAACCAGGTAATCAAATATGGAGCATTTTAAAAATGTAGAAATTTAGATTTTAAAATTTAAACAGTAGACCAGGTGATTCGGGCCTGAGCACTAAGAGTCTGTCATAGCGACGGGCTGTTGCAGTGCAACTGCTCACAGAGGTGCTGGTACTGCAGCTGTTTATGCACTCCATAAATAAACTGAGGGCTCGATCCCCAGTGGACACTCTTTCAATAAATAGGGTCTTTATACCATAAATACCACAGCTCCATTACAGGAAACACGAATGGAATTGCCTTCTCTTTTTGTAGGAGAATCAGAGACTACTTCCAAAACTACACTGAGGTTTGATGCATATACTTGTGTGATCTAAATAGCAATATTAATCTTGTATATTCCACATTGTTAGTTATTAATAACTAATGACATTTTAAGATGAACTACACCAACAAGACCTTTAATGATGACATTTTAATTTCAGATAAAGAAGGACAATGGAGCCTTTCATTTCCAAGTAAGTCATGCCTGCCATCTAGTGTTTGGAATGAGGACACATTTGTTTTTGTATTGTTTTGTTTTTCCATCCATCCATCCATCCATCGTCAACTGCTTATCCTGCGTACAGGGTCGCGGGGTGTTTTGTTTTTGATTTTGTAAATAACAAAAAGACACATTTGATCATCAGGTGATTCTGAAGAGAGACAGATACAATCAATACACAGTCTATATAGAAGGGGGACAAATGAAGGGAAAAACCTGAGTAAAAGAGTGGAGAAACATATCAAACACAGATGGTTCTGTGTAGCAGGGCTCACTGATGGTTTGGCGAGTGTGAAAATGGTGTGAATTAAATGCTACAGCATTTACAGTCCCCACATCTCAACCCTGTTGAACACATGTATAACATCTTATCTTCTCAATATTTATAATCTGCTTGTGGAAACCTGACAATCAATCAGCTTAGCAATTTGACAATAAATGTTGATGATAATGCTTAACGTGTCAGATATTACTGTATTTGAAAGACTGAATTTGGAAGATTTAACCACGTTTGAAGAACATGAACAGAGAGATGTTCAATTGTCACCAATTCTTCTCTTTCAAAACCAAAAACAAAGACAACCCTTAAAATGAAACCTTCTCCTGTGGGCTGGGTAAAGTAGTTAATCACTTGAAATTACACATTGTGATAGTCTTTAAAGATGTCCAACAACTTTAAATAAATAACTTATATGACTTACATTATAAGTTATTCAATGATTGCATAAATCAAATAACTGATCGCTTATGGCAATCTTCCCAATTTGCGCATCAGCCATCATTACATTTGAGTATGCAAGTATTAACAGTATTTTATGAAATTCCTCAAATGTATTCGAAATCTCAAAACTTATAAATCCAAGTCTCCATATTAAAAAAACACATATAAACTTGTTTTTGTTGTTTTAATGCTCTTATTACAGACAGCAAACTCTAGGACCGTCAAATCTCTCTGACCAATCAGGATTTCATATACCAGTGGGATTTACTCTAACAGATAAAAATCTGAACCTACAGAATTAACCGTTTACATAATTTGATCTGTTGGGTGTAAATGAACTCATGAGTGACATCGGCAAGATGAAGTTCCCACACAACCCACAGTATGCTGAAGGACAGTCGGCAACCAAGAGACGATCCGTTCACCCTGCTGCTGTATGAGGAGCTGATTCTTCTGTCGCCTACCTCCACTTTACATGCAATACGTTTACATACAATGCACTACAAATACAGATATTGCATTTGAAAATTTATGTATGTGCATAAATTAATGTATTATATTTTCCTTTGTAAATAAAGTGTTCTTTTTAACTTTCTCATTATTATGATACTTAAGTGTTCCTGTTCTATCTGATTAAACATCTATTTGATTTTACAGATTCAATTCCACTTCCAGATTGTTATTTTAGATTAACTTTTATTGATGCTTTGATTCAATTTGATTTCTCTCATACATCCAACCATCCATTTACTATACCTCTCACCCAATATAAGCCAATTCCAGCTCACATTAGATGAGAGGTCATCATCCACACTCACATTCACACCTTTGGACCTAACCTGCATGTCCTCAGCAGAAAGAAAAGAAAGTCCACACAGAAAGGCCCGTCTCCTGTGAAGCAACAGTCCTAACCTCTCCACCACCGTACCGCCCTTGCATTTATAAATATGAATTATGAAAATATATATAGATAGGTTCATAATTCATACAAATTAATACACAGCTTAGAAATTAGACTGCAGAATCTGTTGTTCTGATTGAAAATGGTCTTGCTTGTGTAGCTTGTCTTGTTTAAAAGGGATGAGGGTCTGTGCATTGGAAGTCACGGTAGGGTTCCATCAGTTTGTAGGCACAGTCCCACAGGAAGGAGTCAGTGTTTGTATTGCAGTTGGACATAAGTCTGCTGGCCAGGATACCCACAGGAATAAGAATACCCTCAGAGGCAATGACAACATTCAGAAGGCCTACAGTGCAGCAACGCCACAAGCTTCTGGCCAGAGATTCTGCAGCTGTGGTCTCCAGGAGGCTGTCATCTCCCTGTTCCTCAGGTGAATCCAGTTGTTCAGTATTTTCAGCCATCCTAGATTCCTCTCTGTAGTTTGCAACCCCAGCTAGTATCTCCTCCTCCTGCCTCGTCTCTAGTTGGTGTTTAAGATCACGTATTGACTGTTTCCTATCGGTGCTGAGGATGTAAAGCTCCTCCATCATTTCCTGCTTATAAGCAATTTCCCTCTTTTGCTTTGTTATCAGCTCATCTTTATTCAGGATTAGTTGCCAAGCCTCCTCCAGCTGATGCAGAAGATCTTGCACCGCCGTCTTCAGGTTTTTGTTCTCCTCACTGTGTTTCTCTGTCAGAGACTCAAGACGGGCCAGCTTATCGGCAGCTCTCTCATTCTGCTTGTTCAGAAAGTCTTCCTTTTCCTGAAGGTCTTGCAGTGCTGTCCTCAGCAGTTTGATCTCAGCCTGTTTTTTCTCCATCAGACATTCAGCATGGGTCAGCTTCTGTATTAACTCATGTCTATCCCTGTTGACTTCCTGGGCTTCTCTAACTTGAGACTGAAGATCGCGCACTGCTGCCCTCAAACTTTCATTCTCTTCCTGTTTCATCTCTCTCAGAGATTCAAGGCGGGTCACCTCACCGGTCAGGCTCCTGTTGTTCTCCTTCATGATTTTCTCATTTTCCTGTAGATCGTGAACTTCTGCCCACAGATGTTCATTCTCTGTCAGTTTTGTCTCTGTAAATTTTTCCAGCAGGGCCAGTTCGGCACTGACGATTGTATTCTGCTTGTTCAGAGAGGTCTCTCTTTCCTCTAAGTCCTGCAGTTCTGCCAACACGGATTTGTTCTCTGTCTGCATTTTCTTTTTCAGGTGTTCAAGTTCGGCCACCTTCTCTAATAGCTCGTCTTTACCACTGTGGTCTTGCTGAGCTTCCTCATCGTGATGCTCGAGGTCATACACTGCTGCCATCAGCTGTTTAATCTCTGCTTGGTTTGTCTTATTCAGACTTTCAAGTTGGGCCACTTCAGCAGTGAGATTCTCGTTCTGCTCGTTCAGAATCTTCTCATTGTCCTGAAGACCATGTAATGCTGCCCACAGCTGTTCAACCTCTGCATGTTTTTTCTCTCTGAGAGATTTTAGCTGGTCGAGTTCAGCATTGAGGTTGTCATTAAGGGTCTTCTCATTTTCCCATAGCTCATTCACTGACGCCTTCAAATTTTCAATTTCAGTCCTTAGTTTCTCTCTCAGAGATTTGATCCGGGCCAGCTTAGCAGTCATATTTTTATTCTCCTCACTCAAAACCAACTTTTCCTCTTCCAGCTTTCTGATGTAAGTGTCATTTTTCTCCCTGAAACACAACAGAAGGTTTGAAACACGAGCCAGTTCTTCCTTCATTTTTGTGTTTTCACTGACTGACTCTTGAAACCTGGTTTTCTCCTCCTTCAGATCAGTTACCTCTAGTACCATCTCTGCTAACTTGGAGTTGAGCTCTTTCCACTCACCATGCAGTTTAGTGAGCTCTTCCTGGGAAGCTCGGGCTTGTTTTATACAGTGGGTCTCTTTGGCCCTCGCATCTTTTAACTCCAGCTGAAGCGCTCTTATCTCTGATTGGAGCTTAGAGTTGTGCATTTGATAGGTTCTGCAGCTCATCTCCAGCTCATGAACTCTTTGTGGCCCACAAGGCTCAGGTATTCCTGTCTCCTCTGACACATAGAGGCTACGTGATTCCTCTGATGTCTCTGAACTGCATAGAGCTGCCTTGAAATTATCTTCAGACATATTTACCTTATAGGGATTAAACTACACACAGCCTCTCAAACAAGACAGTTGTTTAGTTGTTAGTTGTTTATCCTATCCACTTGTATCAAATCTCATAGAAGTCCTCTAATAACAGTTTTGAAAAATAATCCAGCTGAAATCCTATCCTAGACAAAGCTACAAAGCTACACGTGACGTCATTCACGCCTTCGATGTGTCATTTGATCCGTGACTTGTTGCTATGCGTCATGGAATGTTTACTTTTTTTGTTTTTGTTTTAAAGACTCTTTAGCAGAGTGCAACTGGAGTCCATGGTGATATCAATTATGGCTGGTGTGTGTTTATATCATTACTAATGCGAACACTTTTTTTTTATCAGTCATCAGTGGATATTTTCCACCCACACTCACCCCGGATCTCTGTGGGTAACATACATTTCTGGTCCCAGGCTATTTAACTTCAGTTTGTGTTTTCAGAAAAACTTTTCCCGGTAGGTCACCCGTAGCATATCCGTAGGCCTTTCTCTGCATGGCACGCCCTGCCTTCCATGTCTCTGTCTTTTGTCGCTATATCACTGAACACTGTAACCTAGCCTATTTACGTAGTGTTTTTATTATGGAAAGGAAATGCATAGCTGCACATTGTGGTAGTGTCTGCAGACTACCTTCAATTAGGAGAATTGACGCGAAAAATAAAGGAAGTGTAATGTTGTCACATGGGAAAAAAATATTTCGATGCATAAAGACGAATATATAATAAGCGTATATCACTACAAATTGACTTTGTTTTATTTCATCAATAGAAATTTCTTTATGAATACAAAAAGTAGTCCGGTAGGCTACATATTCCATGACGGTTGCTAAGCGACATACATCAAAGGCTAGAATTACTAGAACTAAATTCAAATCAGCTTTCAGGCATGAATGTATAACAACCAACAAGCTACATATAAATTACATAAGAACAATTAACTAACTATTAATAACAATAACAAACAACTACTATTAATTAACTAACAATGAACTATATTACTTTGCCATGGATCTCTGTAAAGGGATTCGACATCATAGCCGCTCATTATACCACTAGCCTACTATGAACCAGAACATTTGAGCTACCCGCTTTATAAAAATAGCTGTAGTGATAATGTAAAGATAGGCCTACTGGAAAAAGGACTGTTACGTTTTAAGGCAACTTTTTTAAGGCTATTTTATTTACAGAGACAAAGCACATTGATGACATCAGCTGCAGTAGCCTACGGGAGGCTGCAGTTTCAGGACCGCAACCCTAGGACCGGAACTGCATTTGTAGGACCCTTGTTTAGCTACTTTGATACTGCCAGCTAGCTACCGTTACCCTAACCATCACAGGGTGTGTTGCCTAAACCTAAGTTATTACTAAGTTATACCTAATCTCATTATTATGGCCAAATTTCATATTCAAATGTAAATTCGTAGATAAGAAACCTTGCTCTTTTGCCTTTTCAAAAGAGTTAAAACATTAGGCTATATCCTACAGTCTATGGCTACATCTCATCAATTCAAGAGTCTCTAAGGCTAAGGCAGTGGAAACTGTAGGTTATCAGCTTGTGTTATTTTTAAAGTTTTTGTATAGACCCTTACCCCCCTAAAGGTCAACTCCTGTACTTGTCCTATGTTCAGTTACAAGTGTTTTTATACTTTTGTAAGATTTGCTAATTCAAATTAAGTTGATTAAAAAAAATAGTTTATTGTATGCATGTCGACTGGTTAACCCTACAGCTGCGCATATCGGCCTCACGAGTTAACCGCCTTCGTGTTGCTGTGCATTACCACCACCACTCCACTAGATGGCGTTGTGGCAAAAGAACTACGGTCCAAGAATTGCAGTCCCAGGATTGCGGGGGTCCTGAAACTGCAGCCTCTGGTACTGCAGCCATAATAATATTGTTTTTAACCATTGCCCTTGTCCCGATGTCAAAAATGTCCCCAGTGTTTGGATTGAGGAAGTGACTCAAGTGATCATCAGGTGATTCTGCATAGAAAGAGACAAATACAATCAACAAATTGTATAGTCTATAGTGCCCAGGACAGTCTGTACTGTCGAAGTAAAACCAACCTGAGAAATTATTAGGCTTTGGCAGGGGTCTGGAAATCAAATACTGCACTCAGCAGATGTAAATAGGCAATAAAACACAGAGCAAGGTGAAGATGTATAAAACACAAATAACTCTATCTTCAGTCCGGTCTAATTTAATTTTCAAGTTATAGCTCTCTGTATATAAGCATCTAACAACCCAAATGACTAAAAATGCTGCCCTTGAACATGATCTTTGTCAAAGGTTTGTTCTGTGACACATGTCTAGATAAGGTTGACACCACAGGCCTGTCCCCTAGGTCCAGCCTATGGGTCCAGCACATGGACAGGTTTGGTGTCACCAGAGAGACAGACAAGAGATCAGTCAGTGGCTGTAACAATAGCAGGATGGGCTGTGACATAGAGTTTAAGATAAAAATTAAACAATCTAAGCTTTTAGACTATCAGTAAACTTGTCAGCTGGCCCTACACAACTAAACATATGTAAGACTACATAAATGTTTAATAACTATTAATTTCTATGTAAAGAACTATTGTGTGTGATGAAACTTTCTTTTTTGTGTTCTCTATTTAGCAAACACTAAGGTACATTATAACTCAGTTTCTGTAGGTTTGAACTTATGAACTAGTGAAACCGGTGCAACCGGAGAGTTGATCCTGTGGTGCTACATAGCCTGTCACAGACAGATTCAACATACACACAAAATTCTTTTTTGTTCAAATTCATTTTTGAAACAAGGACTCCTTTGATTCAGGCAACTGTTAGTTTTTTTGTTATTGATAGATGTTTATTTTTTAGCATCTTTATTTGACACAAGGCAGTGTAGAGAAAGCCAAGACGTGTGGGAAGAAAGAGGGGCGTATGGCATGCAACAAAGTACCCTGGCTGGAAACAAACCAGGGATCTTGTGGTTTTGCCACTTTTGTAAATGGAAAGGGAGTGCATTGCAAGTCCACAAGTCCAATAGGTGACAGTGAGATATTAAGGATGTGGTGCTCAGTGGTGACAAGTTGGAGGAGCTAGCAGTTACAAAAGCAGCAGGAATCATCAGAGACAGACCAAGGAACTGTGGCAAGTCTAGTAAGAAGACAGTCAAAAAGGGAAACTAAGTTACCCAGTTACATTAAAGACATCCAGCTGGACTAAGAAAGGAAAAAAAGTAAATTTTGTTATGTGAAAAAAACAAAAAAAAAAACAAAAAGGACGTCATAATGTACCTGTGGGATGCATAGAACCTACTTAAAGCAGAGGCGATGTTGTAAATCTGGAGTGTATTGATTGCTGGTCCACTAGTCCACTAGATGGCAGTGAGAGATTGAGGGGGTTGCCAGTTGAGCATTAGGTTTACTTAGGCCTATGGTAGAAGAAAAACAATGTGTAGAAATGTGGTTACCAGGCTGCACTGTCTTTTACCTGGAGTGAAATAAATTCCTTTCCTGTTCAACAAGAAGCCTCCTGTGATTTACTGCAGCCGCTGCCTTCAGTGTTTCAATCAAAGAAGGAAGGGTCATTACTACAAAGTGAAAGCATTCACTTTGCCAAACTATTGAAGTGAATGGGGCAGGCACGGCAACTGTATCACTATAAACCAATCTTATCTGTGTTGTGTCACCTTTGACTGAAAAATACTTCCACCAAATAAAAAAATACACATTAATTAATTTTACACAAATATGTGCGTTAGTTTTCCTTGTTATTGGTCTCCAAACAGATCATGGCAGCTGTATATTCTATAGCTCAACTCAAGTCCATGTTTGGTCCAAGATAGCTACATCATAATACATGACCAAATTCTGTACACAAACTACTGGTCGGACAACTCCTTCCGCTCAGCAGCAATAAGGACAGCTAAAGAAAGTTATTCCTTCCCACTGCAATTAAATTATAGAATGACTCCCTGCTGGGTGGGGTGAGCAGAGAATAATTATTTCTTCTTGATAACAAGGCACAGATTACACAAATATTTGCACAAATATAGTCAGTGAAACATATGCTTAAGCCTTTTTTACATATAGTAGGCCTCGCATATCTGTTTGAATGAATATATCTGTAAATATGGCAATTGTACCTGCATGTTTTTGAGTAAGTTGGGTATGTTTTGTACCTGTGATTTGATTTTATGTAAACCACTGCTACTGCAACACTACACGAATAAAGTACCTATCTTTTATGAGTGGTAATGGACTCACTAGAGACACATTCAGGTGGTTCAGATCAAACAGATTTATTGTACAGAGTCCAAAAAAATAGGACAAAGACAAAGGTATCCAAAAACAAGGCAGGAGTCAAAGTCAAAAAGTAATGCTGAGGTCAAAAAACATACTAGGAACAAGACAAAGTGGCAACTTACTGGGGAGGTGGGTATTTATACAGTAGGACAGGGAAGACAATGAGGCACAGGTGGGACACATTAGGGCAGGGATAGGTATTCACACAAGGCAGGGAGGCAGACACAGACCTGAAATGAGATACAAGATGATTTACTCAAACAAAACAGGAAGTGACTACAGACAAAATCTGAACACATCACTTAACTGCAGGAGCAGGGAATGATATAAGAAGGCCACATCAACTGGGCTATATATGGGTGAACTTGTTAGGGGGCTTTGCGCACAGAAACAGACAACTGTTGCTGTATTAGACTAAGCCATGTTCAAATTTTAAATTGACAATGCCAATTACATTTATAGCTTCACATTTAAATAGAAAATATGTTTGTAGACTACAAAACTATATAGGATTAAGGCAGAAAGCTTATTTTTAATATAAAAGTCCATGTAAGAATATATAATTAGATATAACATAAATAAAGTTGTCCTTTAAGGGGTTTAAAATGAAATAGATTATGGGATTTTGTATTATTAGATTCTGGGGATTTGGTTTTACATAATGAAAAACAGTGCACATTATAAAACTTTACACGTTACAAACTCATTTTCACTGAATCTACCTACCTACCTACCTACCTACCTACGTATAACTTACAGTCCTAAATAAGCCCTAAACTCCAAAAATACAGTACTTTGCAGACGTTTTTTAGGCAGGTGTGGAAAAGATGCTGTGATGTAAGAATGCTTTCAAAAATACATGACATGTTAATAGATTATATATATCAATTAATAATTAGTGTGACTACCCTTTGCCTTCCAAACAACATCAGTGTGTCCAATATGTAAGTTGAAACACAATCATCAACTAAGACAGCTGTGTAGAAGTCACACACCATGGCAAGACTGAGCACAGCAACAAGACCTATTCAGGGGAGTCAAACACCTTGGTACTCCCATTATAAGTTATCATTAATGTGGCTGGGTATGGATATTATATAATATTGTGTTTACATATTATTGCAGCTGAGAAGAGAAAAACATAACTTTAGATCCCTTGTACATCAGAGCCTGTCCGTTGGTCCCAATCGGGAACTGCCATGTCTATAATTCAGTTGCCTCTAATAAGATAGGAATAAAGGTCTGCGTCCTCGTTATGTACATTAACATATTGTCCGCTTATAGCTATATCTTCTTGTTTAGCCATAAGAGGGTAGAGTCTTCTAGCTAAGGATTTGGCCAAGATTTTCAGGTCTGTGTTCAATAGAGACACTGATCTATATGTGCCTACCTGCATTAAGTCTTTCCCTTTCTTCGGAAGAACTGTCATAGAGGCTTCATTAAATGTCTGTGGAATATGGGGCAATTGTGTGATTGAACCTTTATAAAACTCATTGCATATCCCATCTGGCCCTGGACTCTTATGATCTAATTACGGATACAAACTCTGGCTGTCAAATCTCTCTCACATGTTACATACAATACATCACAAATACAAATATTGCATCTAAAAATTTGCTCCGTGTATTGGCTTCTTTTGTTGCCTTTTTTATTTTTATTATTGTTGAGCAACTTCAGAGTAATATTTCACATAATGTGTACATACATAAATGTATTATATTTTTCTTTGTACACAAAGTCTTCCTGTTATCTTTGTCATTATTATGAATATAGTATATAGTTTATAAGTGTTACTGTTCTATTTCATTCCTTATCTATTTGATTTTACAGATTCAATTCCACTTCCAAATTTTTTCTTTTGATTTGCTTTTTTAATCATTTTTTAAAAATGATATTAATTGACTTTTTGAAATCCATCCATCCATTAGCTATACCTCTCACCCAATATGAGCCTATTCCAGCTCACATTAGGTGTGAGGTCATCTTCCACACTCACATTCAGACTTTTGGACCTAAACTATGTCTTGGGAGGAAACCCATGCAAACACGATGGAGACGATGCAAAGTCCACACAGAAAGGCCCGTCTCCTGTGAAGCGACAGCCTCTCCATCAGCGTGCCGCCCTTGCATTTATAAATATGAATTATTAAAATATATAGATAGATATTTAGATTCATAATTCATATGCACACATAACTTAGAAATTAGCTGGACCTTGACTGCAGAATCTGTTGTTGGGATTTAAAATGTTGGTCAAAAATTGCCTGTTTGTGTAGCTTGTCTTGTTTAGATGGGATGAGGAACTGTGCGTCGTAAGGTACTATAGGGCTCCATCAGTTGGTGGGCGTAGTCCAACAGGAAGGAGTTAGGGTTTGTATTGCCGTTGTCAGACAATAAGGTGTCCAGGATACCCACAGGCAGAAGTAGCCCTATACCTACAGTGGCAAGGCCAACATGCAAAGCACCTTTCAGTAGACCTTTAGCAGAACAACGCCACAAACGTCTGGTCTGAACCTCAGCAGCGGGAGGTTCTGCAGCTGTTGTCTCCAGGAAGCTATCGTCTTCCTGCTCCTCGGGTGTAGTCTCCAGGAGGCTATCGTCTCCCTGCTCCTTAAATGTAGTCTCCATGAAGCTATCGTCTCCCTGCTCCTTAAATGTAGTCTCCATGAAGCTATCGTCTTCCTGCTCCTCATGTGTAGTCTCCATGAGGCTATTGTCTCCCTGCTCCTCAGGTGTAGTCTCCATGAAGCTATCGTCTCCCTGCTCCTCAGGTGTAATCTCCATGAAGCTATTGTCTTCCTGCTCCTCAGGTGTAATCTCCATGAAGCTATCGTCTCCCTGCTCCTCAGGTGTAATCTCCATGAAGCTATTGTCTTCCTGCTCCTCAGGTGTAATCTCCATGAAGCTATCGTCTCCCTGCTCCTCAGGTGTAATCTCCATGAAGCTATCGTCTCCCTGCTCCTCAGGTGTAATCTCCATGAAGCTATTGTCTTCCTGCTCCTCAGGTGTAATCTCCATGAAGCTATCGTCTCCCTGCTCCTCAGGTGTAGTCACCAGGAAGCTGTCATCACCCTGCTCCTCATGTGAGTCCAGTTGTTCTGTATTTTCAGCCATCCTACATTCCTCTCTGTAGTTTGCTACCTCTGCTAGTATCTCCTCCTCGTACCTCCTTGCTATCGGCTCATCTTTATTCAAGATTAGTTGCCTAACCTCCTCCAGCCGATGCAGAAGATCTTGCACAGATGTCTTCAGGTTTTTGTTCTCCTCATTTTGTTTCTCTGTCAGAGACTCAAGTTGAGCCAGCTCATCTGTAAAGTTGTCATTCTGCTTGTTCAGGAAATCTTCGTATTCCTGAAGGTTATGCAGTGCTGCTCTCAACTTTTCAATCTCTGCCTGTTGTTCCTCCCTCAAATCCTGCAGATAATCAGCATCTTCCATTAAATGTTCATTCAGTGCCTGTTTTATTTTCATCTTTAATTTAAGCGAGGTCAGTTCAGCACCCATGGTATTATTTTGCTCGTACAGAGAGGTCTCTCTTTCCCCCAAATCCTGAAGCTGTTTATTGTTTACTTCCAAGGTCTTTTTCAGGTGTTCAAGTTCGGCAACCTTCTCTAATAGCTCGTCTTTACCACTGTGGTCTAGCTGAGCTTCCTCATCGTGATGCTCGAGGTCATACACTGCTGCCCTCAGCTGTTTAATCTCTGCTTGGTTTGTCTCATTCAGACTTTCAAGTTGGGCCACTTCAGCAGTGAGATTCTCGTTCTGCTCGTTCAGAATCTTCTCATTGTCCTGAAGACCATGTAATACTGTCCTCAGCTGTTCAACCTCTGCATGTTTTTTCTCTCTGAGAGATTTTAGCTGGTCGAGTTCAGCAGTGAGGTTGTCATTAAGGACCTTCTCATTTTTCCGTAGATCATTCACTGTTGCCTTCAAATTTTCAATTTCAGTCCTTAGTTTCTCTCTCAGAGATTTGATCCGGGCCAGCTCAGCAGTCATATTTTTATTCTCCTCACTCAAAACCAACTTTTCCTCTTCCAGCTTTCTGATATAAGTGTCATTTTTCTCCCTGAGACTTTTCTTGTTCAACAGACAGACCCAGTCTAGTTCTTCCTCCCGCCTGGTTGTCTCATCCCTCAGATCACTTAGTTTCAGTACCGTCACTACTAACTTGGAGTTGAGCTCCTTCCACTCTCCATGCAGTTTAATGAGCTTTTCCTGGGAAACTTGTTTTATATAGTGGGTCTCTTCAGCCCATGCATCTTTTATCTCCAACTGAAGCGCTGGTGATTGGATACATATTCCTGCCTCCTCTGACACATAGAGGCTACCTGATTCCTCTGATGTCTCTGAACTGCACAGAGTGGCGTCAAAATTATCTTCAGACATATTTACCTTAGGAATTAAGTTATTGACAGCCTCTCAAATGAGACGTTGTGTGAAATGTTTATAAGATAACTCAGTTACTTAGTTAGGCAACCTGTGATAAGTTGTTCTTCCTATCAACTTTTCTCAAATCTCACACAAGTCCTCTGATAGCAATTTGAAAAATAATCCAGCTAAAATCATTTCTAGATTTATACTGATCAAAGCTACACGTGACGTCACCCGTGATTTATGCGCATGCGCACATGCGCAATAGAATAGCATTCTAGAATGACGCCTTAGAATGTTTAGATATTTAAATGTTTACATGTTATTGTTTGAAGACTCTTTAGCGGGGAGTGCGGCTGGAGTTAGTGTTGATATGGCTGTCATGTGTTCATATCATTCACGCACTTTTTGGGAAAATCATCAGTGGATATTCTGCAGATGTTTCTGGCCTAATTAGCCAAACTTTTGTGGTGAAGTTTTTGTTTTCAGAAATGCTTTTCAATTTTGCTTGCAAATTTACGGAAGCTAAATCACCATAATTACACCTAATCTCGTAATTATGAGAAACGATGTCAAAACTACAAGGTACAAGGTTGTTTACTTGTCATTATACAGCACAAGGCTGCATAACGAAATGAAATTTGTAGTTCCTTCATGCTACATGTAGCCTCATTAATTGAAAAGATGTCATAATTAGGTGGTCAGGATCTCGTAATTAAGAGATAAATATTTGGCTGTCAACACTGTAAAACCGTTATCTATAAACTATCTAGCAACATTAACTGATCCTCTGCATTGAAAGTATCAAGTTGATAACTTAGCCTACCTTTCTGCGGATGTGCAGTGGTTCAACTGAGCAAAGCAGTGGTCAGTAAGTAGCCTAGTCGACATTCTCATATCGTCTTAATCATTAGACTATTAATATAGCCTACCTGCAGACTTGGCTTGCAGCATATGACCTTGACATTCCTGCGAGGAACACACACTACTGCTTGACACACACAGCTGTTGGCAGCTGGACACATGCTTTGACGAATATGAATCTGATAACGTTCATTACGTTTAGCACACAAACAAAATGACAAAATAGGACTACATTTGTTGATGTTCATCCTCTGTATGACTGTCGCACCCTTTTTTGATGGCAAATGACATTGCTTGAAATAGCAATAAAGCTTGTATTTGTTTTATATGGTCTGACGTGGGGAAAATACAGCTTTATTTCCAGATGGAACCAAATTTGTTACAATGACTATATATGTAAATATTGTTGTCAAATGTCAGACAGGATGAGATTAGAAAAGGCGAACCTTGCAAAAGGGCCACAAAAGGAGGAGCAGAAAGAAGGGAGCCTATCAAGGCAAGGCAAGTTTATTTGTATAGCACATTTCAACAACAAGGTAATACAAAGTGCTTTACATAAAACATAAAAGCAACAGGGAAATATAAAAAAGTTTAAAAGCAACAAAAATACACATTAAAATATAATAAAAGTTACAGTGCAGTATACAATCAGGGTTTAAAGAATTAAATGTAAAATAAAAACAGGCTGAGGGGTTGAGCAAATAATTGAGTTACAATTATTTTGAAAAGAGAGTAAACAGAGAAGTACACTTAATCTACTCTCTCTAGCTAGTCTGTACTTGAGTCCATAGCAATCTTTGGGTCCACTGAAACTCCAAAAACCCTCGGACACTACAGAGAAACCAGGACATGTCTGTCAGCAGGCCACTTTGATCCAGTTATACTCTGGACCCACTTGCGCGTTTACAGGTGGACAGAGGTTCCTGCAAATCACTTGGGCGCGAGATTTAAGACCACTTCCTTCACTCTGTTCAATCTCACTCTCATTATCTTTTCACTCAATTACCTACTCATTTCTCACCGTGTAAATATTTAATTAAAAGCACTGATAAAAAGCAAAAAACAAAGAAAAAGAAAACAGGACAGTAAAAGTTACAGTGCAGTGTAAGTTATCAATCTACTAGTTAAAGACAGTGGTAAAAAGAAAAATCTTAAATATTTAATTAAAAGCAATGGTAAAAAGAAAAGTCTTCAGTCTTAATTTAAAAGAACTGACAGTTTCAGCAGACCTGCAGTTATGTGGGAGTTTATCAATGGAGCAACCATCAGTTGCTCCCTGGGACCAGCTCGGATTCACGTGTAGGCTACTTGTACTTTGTGTTGGATTATCAGTAAACTCATAATGCATTGAACTCTATTGGATTTAAGCTTTTAATTGAAAGGATTAGGCTATGTGGATGGCCCCAAGGCATCTGGGTTCTTTCACTTACACCAAGAATTGCAATGAAATGAAAAAGTAACCTAGCCTACCAAGATAGACACAGAAAGACAAATATATATATTATGCACTAATGTATTATATGCCTATTTATCAGGCCTGTGAAATGAAGTGATGCTGAAAAGGATTGTTTATATTAGGTCTTTATGCAACTTAATTTGAGTCCATCCACCTTTTCAATCCTGGATTTCTGAAGTTAGTGGGCTTTTTTACCTGATGGGGATACAGGATCCATTTAGGCAAAAACGGTATTTTCCAGAAGTGAGCAGGCCTACAGGAGGGATGAAGCTGGAGCGGTGACTCCGGTGCGCCGGTAGGAGGAGACTGTGTCTCTCCCCCCCAGTTCTCCGCCACACTGTCCCGATTGCACCGCACACATAAATCTTTGTGCACGTTTTTGTGCCCTTTCCTTCATCTAACAAAAAATAAGACAATTATACATTATTCTGCCACCGCCTCTGCTCCAACACACCGTTTCCACAGCGACATCGCGGGTTAAAGTTAGTCCACCGCCTCATCCATGCATTGGAGACCCGGGCCCCAGCGCACCGGCTCCGGCTCCGGCTCCAGCCATGTCGGCCAGGAATTCAGCGGCTGGCGGCGCTGACAGAGCGGGAGGCGAACAGGCAGGTAATCGAAACAAAATAAAAGCTATTTGTTTACGTTACCAATTTGAATGTTCACATTGCCTCGCCCATCGTGTGTGCGGCATTGAAATTTACCGGAAAAGAGAAGAGCGCAGCGATGTGTTTTTGGCGATTTCTCGCCGGTGACCGTAACTTTGCGCTATTCCGAAACTAGGTCAGTAGATCAGTAGAGCAAATTCGTCCTCTACGCCATTTATGTAACACTGCGCTACGCTGTTTGTTAAATCGCCAAGGTGTTGTGCAGAATAAGGCTATATTTCGACCTGTCATTCAGGATAACGTTATGTACATAAACATTTTGTGCGGTGTGTCGACTAATGTTGATCTAAACGACAAGCTAAACCTCGTAAATGTTAGCTTAGCAATGGTAGCGAGGCCTGTTTACCAGGGTCGAGTCTGTTGGATGGGGGTTTACAGCCCATGACACTTGATTGCTGTGGGTGTTTTTGACACTTCAGTAGTCCGTGCTAGAGCTGGTGTCAAGTTGTGTTCAGGCCTAACGAGTTAACTAGCTGTGAACCAGCTAAAGCGTGTATTCATCTAATGTTAGCTGGGGCAAAGCAGACATTGCTGCAAGTTTACCTGTAACGTTACCATTTCATGGGCTCTTTACTTAGTGATTGTAAATTACGCCTCTGCATGTCAATAATCTGCCCCTGAAACCAACAAACAGTTAGTCACAGACCAACTGAAGTTGCACAGTATCCGTATTTAGTGTGCCTTTCTTAACTGTAAAGATACATCCACCATAAACTGCTGAATGACCCCCTTTTTGTGATTTGGCAACCTTTAATTTATGGCTTGATAACATTGGAATGTGTCACCTTAAATCAAAACAGAAGACCATGCATTGCATAGACTTCAGGGATCATCACACACCCCTAACACAGGGCTCAAACTGAGCAAAACTATGGGCTTTAGGTTTTCAAGAGATGTTTTGTCAAATTTATGTCCTGAGAACCAGCAAACATATTGGATTGATAAAACTATATCAAGGTATTTTTGCTGCTAAAACAGGTTTAGATCACGCAAATTGCATTGTTAAGACAATTTGTCACTTTGTAGGCTCAGTGGTATTGCATGGTAAAATGTAGGTCACACAACTGGATTATCAACGTTAGTTATTGGTTACTCCCCTTATAGATATGCAACCGACCAATTTCATCAAGTTTTTATTTGTTTAGTAGACTACAGAGACTGCGGAGATACTTGACAAAGGTTTCACTCAGTGCACTAAATGTATTTTCAAAATTTAATCTCAGTTCTGCTCTAAAAGTTTTTGTCAAAGGCCCCACTATGCTGTCAATCTGCAGTTAATAAATATACAATGATGTAAAGTAATTTAGCACAGCACTGATTACAACCAGTTTTGTGTAGTGGTATTTTCCTGAGCCCAAAGTGATGTCTTCAAATAGCTTCTTTTGTCCAGCCAACAGTCTGAAACAAAAACAACTCTTCATTTTCAAGGTACAAGGTAAGATGTACGTGGTAGATTTATTAGTCACAATACAAAAGGATGAAGAGTGAAATTGAGTTTGTATCTCTCTTCTGCTACCATCATCAGTGACAAAGAAAATCAGCAACTTCCTTGAAAAATAACTGAAATTATTAATTGATTATCAAAATAGTTGGATTAATTTTCATTCAACTAACTAATTGAATAATCAGCTAATTATTACAGCTCTACTCTAAATTGCTTGTATGTGTAAAAGGGAGCGCAGGTGGTTATTTGTGTCTGTGTCAGCCCTGTGATGAACTTGTCCAGGGTATACGCATTGTCAGCTGGGATCGGCTCCAGCCCCGTGACCCTGCAAACAATAAGCAGTTATAGGTACTGGATGGATGGATGGATAATGTCAGAAAATATTGGAAGATGTCCATGACAATTAAAAAAAAAAAAAAAAAAATCAATTGACTAACTAAAAACCAAAGCTAAGACAAAAAAGCTGGAAGTTGAGAAGCTGGAACCAATTCATGCTTGCCTTTTTTTTGCTAGGAAAAATAATTTAGACAGTTGATCAGTTATCAAAATAGTTATTATATATAACATTTCTGTTGATTTGACAAATTGATTTATTGTTTCAGCTCTAGAGGATATTCCATTTCAGTTAGCTGTGGACCTGTGGTTGCTTGTAAAAC